TTCTCCCACCCATCCAACTTGCTGCTTGCAATGCTTCCCAGAGCAGTGGGAGGTGTGGGCTTGAGCCTCTCATGTGTTTCCTATTTTGGAGGCTGTCTTAATCACTAAGTTTGAAGAACGTGTGTCATTGGTGTGTCCACTTGCAGATGTGCTTTCTTCAAGGAAGGCTTGTAAGAGCCCGCCTTGATGTGTCAGGTCTGGGCAGCATGGCACATAAAGCCATTTTTGAGGGCCAGATGGTGGGGACCCTGAGAGACAAATCCACAGCATTTCCTCTTGGGTAGCTCTCCATGGCACTCCTCTCCATATCTTGGTTTGATGTTTCCTGCTCATCAGCTCAGGTTTTAGGCTCAGAAAAGCCCAAAACAGCTTCCTGAACATCTCCTGTAACTACCCAGCAGACCAGATCTTGTTCCAAGCTTGGAGTGACTGAAAGTGTGCATCAGATAGTCAGTCTTCAGGCTTGTAAATCCACTGCCGAAGTCCTGCCTGCTTTATCCAAAGACAAGCAGTAAGTCCCTGCCAGGGAAATTAGCTCCCCATCTTCAGCTCCTCAGCTGATGTTTAGTTCATTCCAGTCTCAAAAGCCAGAGGAAACCTGTCCTTTTAGCAGATTTATACCTGGGGCAAGCTTGAGAGGAGCTACCTCTGGCAGGTTTGCCATGTTAGGCTCTTTCTGGAGATGCCCCAAAACGTGCCCACATCACACTTGCGATTTCCAGTTGCTGTGGTAACTGATCGCCTGTCCTTAATGTGTTCTGCCACTGAATTGTTCTAGTGCTCACTGTCAAGGAAACCAGCTCTTTCGTCTAATTTCCTAGGCATGAGGTGACATAAAAGCAAAGAAGAGAGGAAAATAAAGTCTTACTTTCATCCTATGCATTTTCAACCTCTGCGTAATTCAGACTTCAGTGGGATAACTCCAATTTGCTCCAATGTACAAGGCAAAACATTTCATATGCTGAATCATTTGGGTGCTCATAAAATGTTGCTTGGTTCCCTTCTGTCCTTTCCCTTCCCTTCCCTCCTACTCCACATTATAGTTACTGTTCTGAAACAAGCTGGAAAGTCTTTGGAGAAAGCACCATTCTGTCCTTAATATAGCCAGGCTCAAGTCTGAACCTGGCTGAGTTTTTTTTAAGTCCTGTCCTGATGGAAATAACGTGTCGGTTTAGAAATCAGCATAGATGGGTCCGTTGATGCTAAAATTGGCCCACACCAAAAATATTATGCCGCTGCAGAATTAATTATGGAGTTACTGTGGGTGGAGTTTTGGCCTTGACCCCTTGCAATTGCTGCTGAAGGTACAAAGAGTATTAGGGATGTAATCAGTAAAGTCGAAATGCTAATGATTCAGCCTCATGGATTATTTTTTTAAGCTGTCTTTGGTCTTGTAAGCCACCCTTGCCCACAAGGAAGAAGGGAGTGTCTGCCTCAACATCTTTCATGTCTTTGATTTGACACTGTTTGAAATTTACCCTACCAAGAGCTGCCTCTTTCTTCTGAGAGCATAGACACGGTCTAAATCAAGAAGAGAAAATTAATTCAGAGTTTGCTAGGCTTCAGCACTTCTCAGAGTTGAAGATGAAAGCTGATGCAGGACCAGCATCTAAGGTCTTCGGAGAGAAGAACATGGTTTAAGATCCAGAAAGGGCTACAGCACCCAACTCATGAAGTCCACTATTGCAATACCCTGTGAAAGTCATTCCGGGATACAGACGGGAATTTCACTGCTGCCCTATCCCTATCATAGCTAAAGCAAATCCCAAGCCTCTGGGAAATCATGGAGCTTTCCCTCATTGCCTTAGGAAGGACAGCATCCAACTGTGATGTCAACAGAAACAAATGGATTGTGTGATGTCACATCCTGGTTGCCCCGGCAGAGAGAGGGGAAGATGTTCTGAGGTGTCTGCAGGAGCATCGCTGCTCTGAATGTTGTCGAAGAGTGTTGGTCTAAGACTGGGATTGAAATGCTGCTCCTTACTCTCTTTTGTTTAACGTCTCTGATCAGCAGCATCAATGCAAGTTTTTATTCTCAACTTTTTATGTTCAGAAATGACCAGCAGAGCCGAACTGCTAGTAGCCCTACAGGATATACACGTATCGGTAAATGAAATAGGCCTGGGCTTATTCCTTGTACCTGATGGCACATATGTATGGCTTGTACTATAGCCTGATACTGAACTCTTCCACTCATACTCCCTAAACAAGGATTTTATCCAGCCTGCCTATGGGAAATGGCCTATGGCCCTGCTAGTCCCCAAACAGTCTCAGCATTGCTTGGCAAAGTGAGGTTTGGGGAGGCTACAACGATGCCAGGGGCTTTGGTAGCATGGATAGCATGGATAATTATAGACCAGTGCTTTAACTGTTGGCCTGCCCCTCTAGTTCAGTAGCACAGGGAGTGGCACTGCCGTACACGAGCAACGTGTCTCATTTTGTACCCAGAGTGCGGCCTCCGACCGTCTTACGAGTCCTTTCTGGACACTGGCAAGAGGATCACAGCAGGGAGATATGCCAAGGCTGGGGAGTTCCCGTGGCATGTGAGCATCCAGAGCAACGGGAAACATATCTGCGGGGGCACCATGATCAGCGCGTTGTGGATTTTAACTGCGGCCCATTGCTTCGCAGAAGAGGTGTGAGTATTCGGGGGAAGCGAGGATGGCCCAGGCACAACGGGTTCATAACATTGCTCCTTGTGGGTGTAGGATATGTATGTCCTTGGGGTCAAGTGCAACATATATGTGGCTGAGCCAGAAAGAGAGCCCTGAAAACAGGAATAGTCTCCTTTGGGGAAAACAGGCCCATTTTTGATCAGAGGTGGTGTTACAACAGAAATGTGCAGAAATCTGCATAACCAGGAGATGCAGAAGGGGAATATTTTGAAGGGTGGTCTGAGCAGCCAGGTATAAATGCCCGTGATGCTGTTCGATGGCCCCAAGCATTTCCTGTACCTCTACACATGTCGCGGTACCCCGTAAAAAGAGGTGTATTCCACTCCAGCTTATTCTAACCCCCAAATTACCTTTGCTTTCATATGGCAAACACCTTTACCTCATGGAGACTCTGATTTTAAAACAGCAGTTTCTGGATAAATCAACCCCATGCAATGCCAAGGGGCACAGTCCAGCCTTCTGTGACCCCTCCAAAATTCGGCAGGTCCGAGAGCCAAGACTGCTCGGTGACAAATGACCTGTGGCATCGCAACCCAGAGCAGCTGGCTGGGGGCAGCGTGGTCCAGAGCAGCCAGCCCAGGGCACAGCGATCCCGAAGATCCATCCCACTCCATCTGTTCATTAGTGACTGGGCTATTTATAACTTGGTTGCATTCACGTTCTACCTCTGCACCTCTCCCCTGAAAATCAGCTTTGCCTAGAATTGAGGGTAGATTTCTGCGATATTTATAGCTAACCTGCCTCTGCAATTTGCTGAACACCACCGTACCCTGCTCAGGGGGAGGAGGCATCAACCTTTATAACACAAAGCCTTCATGTTTGCTTATGTCTACATGCTTCTGTTTTTTTATAAGGCCACCAGATCTCACTGTTGTAGTGGGGGGAATTGACCTCAGCCTCCCGCTGGAAGAACATAAGCCGGACAGCTTGATCCTCCATGAAAACTTTGACAGAATGAGCATGCAAAATGATATTGCTCTG